GGCCGAATCCCTTATCTAATTTAGCTATATCATCTTGGAGTTTTATTTTCACTGGCTGGTATCATGACTAGTCAAGACATTACCGCGTTTGGCTTATCACTGGTTCAGCTAATTCATCATCGCCACTCCCAATCAGCAGGCTTAGGCTTGTCTGGAAAAACGCCAGACGCCGGTGTTTCGACTTTATGCGTCTCGTCAGTGGTGCGCCTCCCAGCGGACCCCTGTTCGGTTCCGCCCCCCTGTCCAGAATGGTCCCATTATTTGGTATGCACTTCGCACCTTCAAAGTGCAAAGTGTTGCTGCAGGACCACCAGCCACTTGATGACCCCTTGACGCTTGCTAACGAGGAACTCGAGGTGGTTGATCATTTCACTTATCTTGGCAGCTGCATCAGCAATAATGGGCGCATAGAAACTGACGTGAGTTCATGCATTACAAAGGCCAGCGCTGCCTTCTTAAACCTGCGGAATCTTTGGCGACAGAAGGGAGTTTCCCTCCGTCTGAAAGGCCGTGTATACAAGGCCACAGTGAGGGCCGTTCTGCTCTATGGTAGTGAGACTTGGCCCCTTCGGTCTGCAGATCTAAAGCGCCTTCAAGTCTTTGATCATCGTTGTTTGCGAAGCATTGCTGGTGTCGGATGGCACCAGCGTATCCCCAACGATGTTGTGCGTAGGCGAGTACTAGGTAGTGATAATCATGCTGGCACCCTGGAACAACAAATAGCACTGAATAAGTTGCGTTGGCTCGGGCACGTGCTACGTATGCCTGGTCACCGCTTACCTAGGAGGGCCTTGTTCAGTTTACCAAGTGTAGGATGGCGCAAGGCTCGAGGTGGACAGAAGTTGACTTGGCAGCGGGAAATGAAGTCACTGACGACCAAACTGGGTGCCGTTGGTCCGTCTCGCCTTCCGGGTTGGAGTCCACGTGACTCACCTTGTGCTTGGCTCGAGACTTTGCAGGACATGGCTCGCAACCGACACCAGTGGCGCGTCTGCTGCCGTCTCCTAATCGGATTGCCTGTTTAAAGTATGTTTGGTGCTGAGTTATCTGCGGGGTAATGGCTGATTATGACGCGTGGCAGTGAAAGCGGCAAGGAAGCTGTCTCGCCGATGCCGCCTTATCTTTGCACGATAGCCAGCTGTTTGTGACGGTATATTGTCTACACAAGGTGTAGGCGCCTTGACCCAGAATGTTTGCTTAGGGCATTAAGGTTTTCAGGTAAGTCCCCCTTCTCTCACTCTTCTTATTCTTTATTTCATAGGTCCTCATGGTTGTATGGCAGTGAAGCATCGGTTCAAATGGCTGATGTACTGCTGTTGCTGCTGCTGCTGATGATGATGGTTCCGCCCCCCATTGTCCTCTGCACAGTTCGTAACTGGCATGGCAGTGGAAAATGAGCCGGGCTATACCATAGTCAACTGGCAATCACGCAGATCCGCGGCTGTCACCCATGGCGAAGTGGCACTAGCTGCTGGCATCCTGAGGTCATGGGGACGGAACCCGGCAGGGGTCCTCTGGGAGGCACACCACTGACGAGACTCATAAGGTCGAAACGCCGGCGTCTAGTGCTTTTCCGGACCAGCCTAAGCCTGTTGATTGGGAGTGGCGATGATGAATTAGCCGAATTATGCCAAAATCCTCACTACTCATCAGTATTACCACTGGTTCCTTACATGCTGTTTCAATCGACGTGGGAATTGTTTTCTTTGGAAGTTCCGCAGCAATTTATGCGCGTGCTAGTACGGTCAACCACAAGAAGGTTTTTACCAGCGCTTGAACTGAGCATTAGGAAGCACTTTGGTAGCAATTGTATTCTCCCGCTATCTAAGGTAAACTGCATCTCACGCACTCGGTATCATCGAGCTGGGCATGTGCCTGGTAAACAATTACCCCCCACAACTGAGTTGAGGAAGTGATTCACTTGTCACTCATATAAGTTTCTCGTGAAGCGGATTCTGAAGCTGTATTTGCGTGATATCCATCTATTAATCCATCTGGTATTCTTGATTCTGAGAGTATTGGCGAGACACCACTCGGGTTAATGTGCTGTGTTTAAAATTAACCGAACTCTTTAAACAACGCGCCAACTGGCAGAGGGGTTGCGCTGTGGCAACTGAAGGCACGCCAATGAAACGCGACAAATGACAGCTTATGGTCCAGACAAGCCTGCACAGGCCCTCAGTAGCCGCAGCGCGTGCTTCCCTCTGCCGGTTGGCGCGCTAGTTCAAATGTCCACTTATACGGCACAATAGTTGAAGTGCGTTCCTCACCTTCAACTAATGTGTAATGATGATGCCGTTTGGCGCGCTATTTCAAATGCTCATTTTCTTTCCGAACACAGTAGTATTATTGGGACACGAAAGTCCCATCATTACGGACCCAGGATTCGTTTCTTTTTATCTTTACACTGCTTGATACAAAATCCACAAGACATCCGTTCTCACTCTACACTCTTTTGAAGTTGGTGATTGCATTGTCCCCTGAGTGCGTGTACTAGACAGTGGCGCCGAATCGCATTCTGGTTATTGATATTGGTTACGTTATTCGCTTCTCCAGTAGAGCTGAGTCCTTGACTAACGGAGTTTATCCCGTCTAATGTGCACTCAGCAAGTGGTAGTCGACTCGATTTCATCCTAGCGAATAGTGCATCTATGTGGTCCGATTACTAAGGTAGGCCAGAGTTACTCCGCATCAGCTAGGCATATGTTGCACTTTCAGAACTTCATCAGATTTGGAAATTGGTAAAGACTCTATCTCTATTTCTTTTTCTCTCATCCTTCGTGCGAATGAATGGGAATACGGACTTTATGATTTTTAGTAATGTAGACTCAAGGCGGGTCGCTTCTAAGTTTAATGCCTCGTGTGTGTGATCGTTTCCGGGTTAATGTTTATCGCATGGACAATGTCCTGCTTATGTTTGTGTGGCCTGTTGACATCCCAGCCCGCACACAACCGTTCATGATTGTACAGCGCTGAATCATCAATGTTACACTGGTGTAGTGCTGACGTTGGGCCGGCCAATGTCCGAAACGATCACACGCCTGCCTTGTAATCCGGAAATCACCGGTTCGAGTCTACGTAGGGGACTAGGCGACTATCGGAGTAGCCTTAATCCACGCGCGACCAGTGGTGATTACGTGGCAGTGAAGCGTCGATACGGCGTACTTTGGATGCGTTGTTATGTTTACTGCCGATATTTGGTACAACGATGACTTGGTTCATCATCATCACACATATTAGTTGGGGGTGGGAAACAACTCAGCAATTAAAATGAGAATGAAGAAAAACTATTAACCCAAGCAAAATGCAAAATTATTTTGTGCATCGAGACTGAGATCGTGGTTTATCGTGGAAGAATAAGCGGAAACTGAAAGGATAACTAAACTCACAACACAAAGGCCGGCTCTTCGCTGTGTCAACAAGTGTACCTAATCAAACGTGTTCATCGTCTTTCGGATCCCAACTAGGGAGTCAAGAGACTCCATTCGACGCCAAATTCCGATTGAAGACCTCTAATATTCTTTTCTCACTCAGACGCCTTTCGCGAATTGGGTATAACGCAGTATTCGGCGTCCTGGCTTGGTTTCTTTTTCCTTTTTAGGTGTCATTTTCTAGTATTTCATTAATATAGCTTTTGTTAACCTGATCCAAACTACGTCTGCGCCTGGTTTATGCGCGATACTTGCATTGAACTTATCGACTCTAGACCACAGTTGTAACGCTGACTTGTAATTTCGGCTGGCAGCGTATCATCCGGCCTCACTATAATAGCTTGCCATGTTATAGGGATAGTGTTGTTTGCTACTAACGAGTAATATGTGCAAAGAATGACATCAGCAGTACGCCGGTACGCAGTACCGACGCTTCGCCTCCGCGCAACCACCACCGGTCGCACATGGGCTAAGGATACTGCGAGAGTCACCCTGGGCCTACGCAAGCTCGAACCCGCGCCGTCAGATTATCAGGCCAGCTCGTTACCTGTAGGTTACGGGCGAGCAGACATTAGGAAATCAGCTAAATCCTAGATCATTGCGAACGAAGTACACGTAATTCACAAATCAACCATCACTGATACGTTGTGGGTGAAGGTGCGCGGCCGAATGGAGAGTCAGAATGGTGCCACGGAGGAAGTGCGCGAATGGACGACTTTCCACGTTCGATCTAGTGTGATATCTATACGTGGGTTCTTTGACGCATGACTCGTCTGCACTGCGTTACGTTCCCCACACTAGGATTTTACCAACAAATGGCACTTCGTTATTTTGCTTACTTCGTCCCAATTGTAAACACGTGCATTAAGGTTTGCCTTCTTTTGCCCCTAGTGTACAGACACTTGCAGTAATATCATTTTATATTAACCACATACATACCTGTCACACAACCATTGGCAGGATATCACCCTAAGTCGGCTGGCACTTTTACCAACTGTATTGATCACCATCAAAAAGGTACAGCCAGTGCACGATCGACACGCTAACTTTAACAAACTGGCGGGTCCCTTGCCTAAAGGATCATAAGCCTGTCCCGTAATCTTAGTACGCGCATTCGAGCCTGCGCAGAGACCGAGCGACCTTCGCAGTATCCTTGGCCCGCAGGCGACCAGTGGTGGTTGCGCGGCAGCGAAACGCCGGTACGCAGTACCGGCGTACTGCTGATACTTTTTAAAAAAAACTGCACACTAAGGCCTACTAACACCACGCAGCCTCCCTCGCAGCTTCATTTCTGTTCTTCCGTTATCAATTTGTGGGCACATATAAGTTCATCAATGGGAATACATGTTTCTTCCCCTTTGCGGCAACCAACGACGCCACTGCATTATGTCTGAATCCAGCATCTGAGTAGCTCCCTACACACTGAACTATTGCACTGTTTGAAAATGACCATTATCACAAGAAAGTTGTCTTACTTTCACTGACCTGTAGGATTCTTCTCAAGTCGTGCTTTTGTCTCGTATGCTCTATATCCGTTTATTTGAGCCACTGCATTTTTCCCAATTTTTAGACTTCCCGTCGACCATGTCACTTTCATTCGATGATCGCGTTTTAGGAGAGAAAGTTGACAACTATTGTAGCAGCAGTGAAAGTGATGAGGCGTCTGATCCTAGTGACGCGGAGAGTGGTGAGCAACAACCAAATCAAGATCCTCCACTTTTGGCCCCGTGCTATTCCAGGGACCAACCACAGGTACGTCCCATGAGACAGCAAACGAATTAACAATGTTTGAAGACCGGTCCAAAAGGGGTTATTTCGGATTACAAACAATTCCAAGCACTAAGTCGACTGAGGAAATTTGAAGATGAAGAAAAGCTCATAGAGCAAGCAAAGAAAAACACTTTGGCGTGCCGCTCCTATGTGTGTGCTCTGTTCGTTGATGATCTACGATAGCACTATAGAATGAGGATGTCGAGGCAGCATTGAACGACAATAAAATCTTAGAAGCCCTAAATGCTCTGGACGAGGATGACGAGTTCTTGACTCAGTATCGACAAAATAGGTTACTTGAATTGAAGAAGGCTCTAGAGCGATTGTAGGTTTTTTTAATACGGCTGTTTACTCCATCAGACCCGTATATAAGGATGTTTACACATTAACTGCGGATGACTTCGTCCAAGAAATTGATGGTGCCGATCCTGGTGTCACCGTTTTAGTGCATATTTTCGAACCGGTACGTTACAATCAGTTTACCAGCTTTTGCTTTTCAGGATCATCCAGCATGTAGAAAGATCGACCACTGCCTCAGGGAGTTGTGCATGGAGTATCCACACGTCAAGTTTTGCCGAATTCGAGCATCCGAAGCCCGGCTGAGCTATCGATTTGTGAGTTATCGTGCTCTGACAATCACAGCGGTTTCATGTATTTTATCTCACTTCCTATGTAACCGGACCGAGGACGTTTACCCAAATATTGTTAACTACTCACTCCTCTTCTAACATGTGATTGTATGTCTGATTGGATTTTACCTCATCAGATCATAGTGTATCCGTTAAACACCCGGTAGCACCACCAATGCAGCGCTGGCAGTGACTGCTAGTCTTATGGCATAATTTGCTTATTAACCCATTGCAAACACCAAGTCGATAGGCTTTTTAACTCTTAGAACTGTTGCTGTACAGCTGTCGAGCTACGACCACTTCAGGACAGTCTATCAAATAGCAAACGTTTATTCCCATTTTTAATCTAACTACCTAGGTTTGTATTAGCAACGGACGTCATCCACGGCCACCTATTTATCCCAACTCAATCTTCGAATTGTGTAGTCCATAGCTCTATGTTCTACTTCAGTGTGTACAAGTGTGTGTGGTTCTTAATGCATGGAGTACTCGATGTTAGCCTGGATTGCCCAGGCTTATATTTGTGCCACGGTTTACTTTAAAGTAGACTTTGATCACTTAGCTTATTAAAATCACATCTGATATGAAGACATTTTGTGGTTGCTCTCTTTGTAATGCTGCACTCCACCATCAGTTTCGTGTCCGTTTTTGAACTCTTCTGGTGGGAATAACCCGTAGGGGGAACTGAACCCGGCACTCTGTATTTTGTCGCTTACGACTCCACCACATCGCTGCTGAGCTACTTGAGTAACAGTTGTCAAAGTGGTTAAGAGTCCCCTTTCAATTTTTGACTACCATGACTTTCCGCGCTCGGTTACCAGTCCCAGCTATCTCTACCTAAAGCGTCTAAGCAATGGTGTAGCTAATCGTTTAGCGCCGCACTGGTGGAACACCAATGAAAATATCTTTATCTTACATGCGATTCTAGTATTCCGAATGGCTGCGGCGTGATACAAACCAAGCCATGGTATCTATCACAGTAAACCTGTGCTTCAATGTGGTGTGATGCTTACTCTGCTTTTGTAGTTCATCGACGTATGGTAGGATACAATCTCCGAGTCTTTGCAGTACCATTATATCAGGATGCTCTATTTATGGAATTTAGACGAACTCGGTCTTGACATCCTCCGCTTAAGATGTTAAACAGAACTCGTTGCTCTTCTTCCTTTAACTTACAATCATGGGAGACAACAGTTTGCTGATTGCAAACTCACTTCCTATAGCGTAGAGCGGGATCCCAACTGCCCATCTTAATTAGTTAAGAGGTCTGTTAGGAAAATTCGACTTTGACAGCCTCCGGGATGCAGTCTATGGAAGCTTAACCCGAAATGATAAAAATGCAACTGACCTTCGATAGCGCGTCGGAGTTGAATGGTCAGTTTCCACTGTACACTACGATCCAGTCTAGAGGATTAGCTCCTGCACAATTGCCTAGGGTTACTCTAGCGCCCTAAATAACGCGAACGGTTGACTCGATGTCATCAAGGTTGTGAAGTGCTTGTGTCCTATGTTTGAGACCTGTGTCTGCTAAGTGCAGCTGCATCAAGACACCGTTTTCCTGTATGCCTTTTTCGAAGACAGCACGTGTTAACTCCAGAGGAGTGTAGAGTGTGGGAGAGCGGTGCCCGCTGATCATTAAAATGCTGTATGCACATTCAGTGATTCAAAGTGCAACATTACCTTATGTTGTTAGTGCAGCTATTGAACTTTGTAGTGATCTCTTATTGTTACATATCAACAGGATTCGTTAAGTGACATAAAAGATAAAAACAAATTGTTACAGACACCTGTATCTTGTATGACCACTCATTCCCATAGAGTAGTTTGGTTGGAAGTTCCGTGCATCTGGCTTTTGATTCAACACTATGATTCACCTGGCAGTGGGGAGCAAGTCCAGCTCAAGAGTGCGATTCCAGTCTCATAGGGACCTGCTTGAGGTCGACCACATGCAATATTGGAAAAAAAACCTTGAAGTATGCTTCTCAACTGTATTAGGTTATTTTAAAGTATTCATCCCACTCCACTGAGCTGGAGTGATCATTTCATTTCATTCTACACATTAACTGTGGGTGAGAAACATCTAAGCCATTGTGCCGCAACGCAATTCAGTTAGGTGACGTCAAAAAAATAACAAAAACAAGACCGAATAGGGCGATGTCGTCGGCATACTTCGAATTGGAAAGTCTGCCACCTGGGATCAGCTCCACACCTAAGTCGTGTCCACTGAACGCAACTCCCATGTCTTCGTCAATGGCACGGATGATGCTCTTCCACTGTCACAGTCAACCGGTGGCACTCGCGTCAGACTTTAGGGGAGCTGATCTTAAGACTCTTCGGTGCTTCATGACTGGATTTTACAGGAAAAGTGCATTTCCACCTAATTCTCTTTTTCTGTCTGGAAGTAACAGCATGCAAACTTCTAAATGATTTTCTAGCCGCGTCAGTTTCAATTTATATACTTCTCGATTGCCATCAATGGTTGCACCACTGAAGAATCGCCTCGGAACCTCTTTTCCTGTAGACAACTTGAACAAAAACGTTTTTTCCGTTCCATCTGTACACTTTTTCAGACCAACTATCTGCATGGTGTCTCGCACCGTCGAGAACGAAAATACTCATTATTTATTTACTTTTACGGAGACTGTTTCAAACACAGTCATTGACTTATATATCGTAGGTGACCCTGAAGATGATTGCAAAGTATCTCCTGATGTAGCAGAGATATGCAAAGCATCGCACTGCGTTGAACTTGAGTTTCGTCGCGATGGGGACGGTTCCATATACATTCTTGAACACGTGAGACTTCATCTTTTTAGTGTATTCATTCTGTGTGAGTCATCTTTTGTCAACTTTCTCCTTGTGCCTCTTTACCACTACCTATATGCCTCAATTGTTTCACATCAATGCTTCAGTCCCGTTCGGGTATCCCGGCTTTCGTCATATACAAACGGGGTGAAGTGATCGGCAATCTGCTGCAAGTCACTCGAGATTTGGGTACTGATTTCTATACCGTCGATGTGGAAAATTTCCTGATCGAGTAAGTTGTTTACTCCGTTTGAGCCTATTGTTGAACACCACACGGGATCCCTCAGTATTGCTTGTTTTTTTCGACCTACTGACTGTATGGTCATTTTCACAAAAGCAATCAAGCGTAAACTGGGTTGGCTTAGTGGCGGTCATCTTGTGAAGCACTTGTTTCGTGATGAATAGATTGCTGCACACAATCTCAATCTGGAATGCAATTCACTTTGCTATGATTACCGGTCAGTTCGGTCGTAACTGGAACAATAAATGTCAGGGGCTATCCGTCGTGTTGTTACTTAGTAGCATGTGCCATTTATCATTTTCCTAAGTACTTGTTGATGTAGATAAGTTTGTGTGAAACCGCCATCATTTGTACCTTTCTTCTCTTGCTTTCTTTCCTATAAATTTACTATCATTTACATTCTCATTCCCTTCCTACATATGGCCTTCAGGCCTTTTCGCATCTAGGTATGTGCGTGCGTGCGTGCATGAATACATGTGTGTAAAGAGTGATGTGCTCATGGTACATCTGAGAGTCAGGACGGCGTGTGAATCAGTAGTGTGTGTAGCCTGTGTCATACTGTCCCTGTGGCTTTTGTCTCGTTGCTTCCCACATCGTTGCGTGGCTCATTTTCCCCTCGTCACCCAATCCGGTTTTATTCACCTCACCGTCTTTATTTTCTATCTCTAACGTCAGCAATACTGCCCATGTATTGCTGTCATTTCTCTTGGAAATTCAGGGTCCTATCAGTTGAAAATGCGACAATAGATCAACGCAGTTGGGTTGCTTGCCCCGTTTTCTTTACCTGCCAATTTGTTCCTCCTTGTGAGAATGAATGTTAACATGACCTGTATATTTCAAACTGACGCGTTGTTCCGTTAAAGACCACACGCCTCCATCACCCATCTATCTCCGGTAACCTTGTGAACGTCTCATATCTGCCATATTACCAATGTTATCCTTTGTTCTCTCTCATTTCAGGCGTGGGTTCCTTCCTGACAAGACCATCGGTATTTCCTTGAATGCACGCTTTGCTACATCCGAAAGCCCACCCGACTAACTGTTTTATCCCGAGTGTTTACCCACCCACCCTATTACTTCGTTAACTTCGTTGTCAGTCTTATTACTTCTTGTGCAATATTATCAAACTAGTATGGTTATGCTCTTCACTGCAAACCTACTAGCTATCTGCAAATCTGCGCAGCGAAAGTGTATAATGTCTCGGCTCCTAGTTTCTCACCAAATCATAATCAACGTGAACGCAAATGCCTTGGCGGCAACAAGCGTTCTCATCAGGGTGACAGCCACCAATTTTTTTTTACACAAATTGGTACTAATCTCTCTTGTACTTCTATCGATCTCTTCACTTTAGCTTTCATCCACATCAGGACGGGCTTTAATATATCTTAAGAACCGGCCTCCTGACTGCTTGTAATATACATCAATTCACCGTTTCTCTGATTGCCCGCCAGACACCACTTACCTTCCAGTGCACTGATTGTGTGTGGATGTTGATTTGAAAAATATATGCCTCTACTGCTTCTAATCCTGTTTTGCTTGTTAACTGTCTATAAGCTGGTTTGGCTGCTTCAGCGACGCATACAAACCAAATCCTGAATTATCGCAGCAATCGTCCAACAGTCTACAAGCGCAGCTGCATAACAACTCTATTTAAAAGAGCTCAGACACATTGCAGCATCCCATAGCTTAGGAAAGCGGAGGAAAATCATCTGTTCGAAATGTTTACGTGGAATGGGTATCCAGGAATTTCGTTCTACATTGTTTAACATCAACAAAACGACCGAGGCATAAACAAACATCAGACACGGATAAAAGGACAATCATTCTAGCATACATCAACGGCGTCTCTGATATGGCGACGAGACTGCTACTACTTTTCGGAATCAGAGTTGTTCACAAGCCGACAGAAACTATCCGAGACAAGCTCTTCAATGGTAGGGACCGGCTTGGCAAAGAAGAAACAAGTGGTGTGATTTACAAAATCCACTGCCAAAATTGTAACAAATACTATGTGGGCTAGACAGGAAGAAAGCTCGGCACTAGGCTACTTGAGCATAGTCTAGCCATCCGCCGACATGACCGGAACTCCTTGCTGTTGGTATATATGGACGCCGAGAATCATCAGTTTGATTTGGAGAATGTCAGGATCATAGGCAGGGCAACAACTCGAGAAGCACGCGAGTTCATCGAGGCTTGGTACTCGGCAGTGAACTCAATCAACAGACACTTAGATCTAGCTACTGCCTATGAAGCACTAAGAGTCAAACCAATACTCCGCCCCAGATTAACAGGACAAAGGAACATCATTGAGGCGGACTCTAGCCAACAGCATGCAACAGCTGACTGCACGGTCAGCTCACGTGGACCAATCGACCCCTGCCGTTTGAATCAATTAATCAATAATCACTTGAATCTATGAGTGGCCCGCATAAATCGCACTAATGATGTCGTCTAGCCTGGCGATAAAACATTTGCAGCCAAATCAGCCAGCTCGGAGAACAACAGTATACCCACATCCGCGTCCCGCGCTACAAATATTCTCACGGATTTCTAACTCACCTATCTTTTGAAATTGTATTTTTACCCCCACCATCCTGCGGGACTTGTCAAGCAACTGCTTTTTTACCCGACATTAATCATTGTTCCTTGTCAATTTCCCGCTGCCAAGTCAAGTATTCAACCCCCTCCCCATTCTTGGCCCTCCCCCAACATGCTTTTCTAGGCGTTTATCTTCTAAATTCAACTCACATGTGAACGCGGAGCGTCACTCCTCTCCTGTCGACAAGCCCATGTCCAACCAAGCGGTCCATTCCAGTTCATCGGCTTCCATTTGGAGCCCTCGATCCTCCTTCAGCTTGGCATGCCTCAATGTACGTACACTGCTACAAATCGGTCAACAGGCATCACTTGCCCGAACATTAGAGACCCTCTCGATCGATATATGCTGTTTATCGGAGACCCGCCTGTGAGACTAGCTCTATGCTCACTTTGCGATCCTCTTCGGGTGACGCCAGCAGCACTTTCTCATTGCACCTATCCGGTGACGATGCAGCTTCGAACACCGGCCAAGCTGGTGTTGGCATTGCCCTGAGTCCCCGGGCTGAAGCTAATCTGGTTGATTAGATTCCAATCAGTAGCCAGATGTATGCGGTCCGATTGGCTGGCTCGTCCAAAACTTCGAAGTCGCGTGGGACTAATACATGTCCATTGATCATCGCTGCCTACGCGCCCACAAACTGTAGCGATGATTCGGTAAAAAACGACTACCGCCAACTGACCCAGCTCCTTCGCCACAGATGAAGCACGAACATCGTTGTGCTGGCTGGGGATCTGAACGCACAAGTTGGAAAGTTGTCCACTGATGAAATGCATCTGGGCGGTCAGCTCGGTGTAGGCTCCCGTAATGATAACGGTGAGCGGTTACTTCATTTGTGTGAAGATGCCCGCTTATTTCTTGCGGGCACTAACTTTCGACACAGCACTCGGCGGATGGTGACTTGGCGCCCACCAGCCTTGGACGCAGATCGATCACATTACTATCAGTTACCGCTAGAGAGGCTGCATCCAGAACTGTCGCTCTATTTGGAGCACATGTGTGGACACCGATCATGCACTTGTGTGTTGACCTGCGGATGCGTTTTGGCGGATGCTCAGGACGACGTTGTGAGCGCATTGACACCAACCATCTGGCGAAACCAGCTGTTCTGAATGCGTACCGAAGTACGCTGACATGCGAGTTGAGTAAGCACGTACTGAAGACAATTGAAGGTAACTGGTCGCATGTAGCAGCAGGAAAATCCTCATGTGGTAAGTCTAATAGTCAACATGAACATTGGGTCTCTTCGCGGTCTCTGGAACTTATCGATACTCGCCGGCGTATTCCGGCTGGAGGCGAACACAATGAGACTCTTAAAAAAACTCCGTGCTAGCCTGAAGAGGGACTGCGAATCCTATTGGTCTCATCGTGCTTCAGAGATGGAAGTGGCTGCTGCCCTTGGTAACCATTGTAAGTTATTCCGTCTGATACGTGAAACGGGCGGCAGGAGACCTGGTGTTAGTGTAACTATACGTGTCAAGAGTGGACAGCCTATCTACAACTTGTCAAAACGTTTGGAGTGTTGGTCGGAGCATTTTGAAAAGCAATTTAATCGGCCGGAATTGTTCGATTCCTCGCCGGCCAGTAATCGTCCTGCTCCCTGGGCTGTCCCTTTGGATCCGCCCTCTGGCTCAGAAGTCAAACGTGAGATCGGACTGTTGCAGTTAAATAAAGCCGCGGGACCAGATGATCTTTATCCAGCCCTCTTCAAATTCGGGGACTGCTCTTGTTGATGCTTTACATGAATTACTAGTGAAACTGTGGGAGCCGGAAACTGTCCCATCCGATTGGAGCCGCTCCGTTATAGTTCCCATCTTCAAAGGAGGCTCGCGTTCGGAACGCGGCATCCATAGAGAAATCAGTCTGATATCCATCGCCTCCAAATTGCTTGCCTCTGTCATCCTTCACAAACTGACTGGCACTCTTTAAAGCCAGGTTCGTGAGGAGCAAGCCGGCTTTCGTCGGGGTCGTGGCTGCGTCGACCACATCACCTTGCGCCAGTTGTTGGAGCACTGTCACACATATTGGCGGCTCACTGTAGTCGTATTCATCGACATCAAAGGTGCCTTTGATTCGGTTGATCGATGTGCCCTTTGGAATTGTCTACTCAGGGCAGGTGTGCCCGAGAAATATGTAAATATTATCCGAGCATTATACGCACGTAGCACGGGCAGAGTGAGTGCTTACGGCAAGCTGTCGCCGCCCTTCAATATCTCCAGCGGTGTGAGACAAGGATGCTCGCTGTCATCTTTCCTCTTGAATTTCGCGATTGAGTGAGTCATGGAGATTGCATTTGTAGGACATGACTTAGGAGGTGTGGATCTGCTCCCAGAAGAACGACTTTTTGACTTGGAGTATGCAGACGACATTGCCCTCATCTGTGACAGCTCCCAGACGTGCCAAGCCGCCATGGACAGATTAGCACTGGCTGTCCGTCAGTTCGGGCTTCGCTTCGCACCCTCGAAGTGCAAAGCGTTTCTCCAAGATTAGCAGGGATCGCCTTCTGCGCAGACCCTTCTTGGCGATCTGCTAGAGGTCCTTCACAAATTTAACTACCTGGGAAGTTGTATCAGCGCCCGTGGGATTGAAGTTGAGATCACGAACCGTATAGTAAAAGCTCGAGGCGCTTTTGCTAACCTTCGCCACTTATGGCGGCGGCGCGACATCTCTCTTGCCCTGAAGGGTAGAGTGTATAATGCAGCGGTACGTTCGACCCTACTGTACGGTTGCGAAACCTGGCCCTTTAGATCAGCGGACATAAGGAGGCTAGTTACGTTCGACCACCGGTGCTTTCGCGGTTTGGCTCACATCTGGTGGGAACGCCACGTGAGTAACGAGCTTGTTCGGCGCCTTGTTTACGGCACAGCATAAGGAACTGAACCGCTCAGCATCGTTATTTCACGCACCAGGGTCCGATGGCTCGGCCACGTGTTGCGCTCGCCAGCCGACCAACGTCCGCGAAGTGCGTCGTTTGCTCACCGGTGGTGTGGACGGAAGAAAAGGTGGCCAAGCGATGACTTGGTCGAGAGGAATGAAAGCCCTCACTTCTGAGCTGGCCTCGGTTGGAACGTCTCGGCTCCCTGGTTGGGTTCCGAAAGACAATGAACACCTTTGGCTAGATACACTTGCTGACATGGCAAGGAGCCGACCTCAGTGGCGTTCGTGCTGTGAGTTTCTTCGTCCCACCCCATCCCTCGTAGCCTCCACCTCCAACCACGATCTCACTATTTAGCCTTATATAATTTTGCATAGTAATTTTTTTCGCTGTATAGTAGCCACCTGGTAGCTAACGTAACGATGCCTATCCGTTGCTGGTAGCTCAGATGGCATGCCACTGTTTTATTTATTTTCCTTTTCCTTTATGTATTGCGGCACAGTAGCTTAGGTGTTTCCCACCTCTAGCTAACGTGTATAATGATGTTGATGAAGTCAAATTTTGTCCACCTCGAGACTTACGCCACACTACATCTGTTTGACTGAACTAGGCCCTCCTAGGTATGCGGTGACCAGGCACACGTGGTACGTTTCCAACCCGTCGCAACTTGTTTAGTGTTACCTGCTGTTTTAAGGAACTAGCTTGCTTATCACTGCCAAGTACTCGCCTACACACATCATCGTTGCGGACACGCTGGTGCCACTCGACACCAGCAATGCTCCACAGAAAACGATGGTCAAAAACTTGAAGGCGCCTCAGATCTTCAGACCGAAGGGGCCAAGTTTCACTACCATAGAGCAGGACGGTCCTCACTGTGGCCTTGTAAACACAGCCTTTTAGACGGAGGGAAACTCCATTCTGTCGCCTAAGATGCCGCAAGTTCAAGAAATTAGTTCTGGCTTTTTCAATACGTGAGCAGACTTCGGTTTCTATGCGTCCATCCTTGCTGATGCAGGTGCCAAGGTAGGTGAATCGATCTACCACCTCGAGTTCC